AGAGTTTGGGAAACTGCTTCTGGATGTACTGATATCAAACAGGTGCTGTGCCATAGTATGCAATCAATCAGTTGGTGTGTGTGGCATTGAGCAGAACCCAGGCAGAATCAGGGAGAGCTGAAAGGCTTCTAATTACATCTGAACTGCCTGTTCCAGGGATTCTGTACTTCAGTGGAAGCCTGGGAGCCAAAGGAGAGGCCTGACACTACAGAAACCAAATCATGAAACATATTCTCTTTTTCAGACAACTTGCAGGAGAGGGAAAGATGATGCTGGAGCTGGGATCCAGAGACTAAAGGGCACCTGCTCTGCCTCAGTGTTATCATCACTGCAGGATGTCTGGGGGTCTTTTGAAGCAGATGAAGCCTAGGGAAATGCACAGAGCTATACCTTATAGCTATACCCTAAAGCATCCATGCCAACAGCAGAGAAGGCAAAGAGACACAGGAGATGATGGGTTTTTCCTCGTTAGCCTGAGGAATTCACAGAAATTTCCATTCTTCCCCCCAGCTTGCCTACAGCTTCAGTGTACAGACATCATCGTGCCTTGGAGGATCCTTAAAAACCTCCCTTTACAGTGTGCAGAGAAACTGGCATTTCTCTGCAAGTGGCCATGATCCCCACAGCAGTGCAGCTGTAACTGCAGTTTTACTTTGGGGCAGTTAAATACCAGTCTCATCTCTAAAAGCATCTTCACTCACTTGACCAAGTGCCTCAGGCAGAGCAAAGAGGGGCTTTAACACAAGGACACACCCCCCTCAGCCATGCTGCTAAATGCCAGGATGCAATCCAGAGACTTACCTTCTCCACCCGGAAAGAGAGTTTTCTGGCTGATACTTCTATAGAGGGATCTATGAACTTGCAGCTAATGATGGTTTCTATGATCTTCTTTGTCACCACGCTTGTGCCAACGACAGCTTCACACCTCATGTAATCCCTCACCTCCTGCATGCAAGAGTCACTTGTCACCAGTGGAGGGTGGCAGGGCACCAGCAAATGCCCTGCACTGGCTCAGCACCCAGCACAGCCCCTATTCCTGCCACACAGTTACAGTGGGCACTGCCTCCTTTTCTTGCCGTGATGCAGCTGATTTATTCTGCACTCAGTTGTCTGTAACACTGCACCCCAATGCCCACAAAAGGCACTTGTGAGAACTCCCCTCCCTTCACATGGCTTTTGTTTTATCTGTGCTTACCCCAGATAAACCACTTGGCACTTGTTGAATTCCCTTTCTTTTTGTGCTCCTAGTCTAAGTGTAACTTATTTGTCTGCCCTTCTTTGCCGACTCAGCGTGCAACACCGTTTGCCCCAAAAGAGCATTATTTCCTTCCAGCCCTGCTTTGGGATCAGCACTGGGTTTTGGTAGCTGTGGAATCCCAATAAAGCCTTGGCTGCTCTGATGGTGGCCAGCAAGGAAAGCAACTGGTGCTGCCACAGAAACGTGCGGCCTTAAAGCAGTTTCTTGAAGGGCCTTGCTCATTTCCCCAGGCAAATGTCAAGGCACTGTGGAACAAGGCCAGGGGAGGGGATGTGAGGGCTCCCCAGGCTCAGCCCTTGGTGGGGACCTCACCTGTGGCATGTGGGAGAAGCCTCGCAGCACCATGGCCACAGACTGGCCTGGCTGCAGGTGCCAGGAGCCTGGCTCCAGCCCGAACACGGCGCTCGTACGACTGCGGCTCTCGAAATCATCTTCGGCCTTGGGGCTGCTGAGGGCTGAGACGCTCTGGCCCTTCCTCTTGGCTGGCCTGTAGCATTCCACGCTCCAGAAGAGCCGATGGAAATGGTGGCCCCTGTTTGTTACTTGGAACTGGTGAGTACTGGGAAGGTGGCTACAAGAGAAGCCAGGATGGAAAATGGTGTGGGAGCAGCTGTTTCCCTGCTCATCAGATTGTGTTTTCCTCCAAAATGTTTGTTCTGGGCTGATTCGTACTGTTACTGTATTTTGCATTGCTCTGTGCCCCACACTGTCAGTGAATCTTTGAGATGCTGCCCTTGAGGACCTTGTGTGTGGGGGATGATTGCAGGCATTTCTAAAAGCCAGCTCAGAGGCAGCTTCTGCACGATCCCAGCAAGCTGGTAAAAATCGTCTGCCTGCTCCAGGAGAGGAAACCAGGGCAGCAGGGCCCCTCTCCTTGGTAGCAGCTTTGGTTTTGCACTGAGAGCCATTTGTAGAACTTCATTTTGCAATTAGAAACTGTTTTGAAGTGAACTTTGCAAACTCTGCTGGCAGCAAAAAAGCCATCGAGGCCCTGGGCACAGCAGGGCAGCAGCAGGGCCCAGGAACAGCAGGAGGAAGCGGCAGTGGCACTGCGGGCCCCACACAAAGCAGCAGTTTCCATCTGGCCCTGGAACTGCTCTGGGGGCTCCTGCCTTCCTGGGGGGGTTGGTGCCCTCCTGTCTCTCTGTTCCCAGGCCCTGCTTGCCTGGGAAGTGCCATTTCAGAAGGGAAGGCTGTGAGGCCATCTGCCCTTGGTCCCTCAGCCCCACGGAGGGACCGCCTCACCCGGGCGCCCTTTTGGGAACCTTTTGTTCTGGGGCAGCTGTGACACCACTGCTTGATCAAGTGAGGACATAAATGTATTACAACTAAAGACAATTCAGTGGCCATTTAGCAACTGGTTTCCCTTCCAGTGGCTTTTGAGGGTATCTAACAACTCTCAACTGGCCACCACACGTTTCTGAAGGAATCTCTGCCTTCAGGGAAGGACTCAGGGATTGGAACACTGAAGAAGATCTTGCCTGAAGGACTACAGCAAAACTGCTCCTTGTTGAGCCAGGAGGAGAGGTGGGAGTGGGGAGATCTCCTACCTGAATTGGTATCCCAAGTTGAGCTCTGGGGCCAGTGGTTTGTCTGTGACAATTGTGGTGCCAGTGCCCATAGCCCTCAGTAAGAAGCTGAAGCAAAAGCTGTTCTCGATGAAGAGCTGGATGGAGTCAGCAAAATGCCCAGTGTCATCCAGGATGGCTGTGACAGTCACAGGAACCTCACCCCTAGCGGGGATCACTCCTTCTTGGGTTTCAAGAACAAAGCACTGGGGTTTATCAGCCTGTAAGACAAGCAGAAGATGCATTTAGGATGGAAACCATGCACCGTGATCTCTTGTGGGATATAAGAAAAGGACAGACTGAAGAGGGGAGGATAAAAATCATAAAGGCTTCATTTCCCTAAATTTGAGCTGCAGTCTCAGGCAACAGCAGAGCTCATACAACCTGTATTTTCCTCTCCTTTAACAGACTCACCTAATGACCCCAGCTCTGCCCAACCCAAGGGATGTTTATCCTCAGGAGAGTGTTCCTTCCCCACTCTTGCTCTGGAGTGTGTGCCAAGGAAAGCTGCTTTCTCTCTCTCCTGCCTTCTCACAAAGGCTCAAGGCCAGAGGAAGCCAGGACTGCTCAAATCCCACTCCAGAAACCACACAGCTGGAGGACACTGCTGAGATCCTGAAGAATATCACTGCAATACCAGTTGCAACCCCAACACCAAACTATTCTTGCCCAAGGGGCCATCAGTGCTTCTCAAGATCCCCTGAAGGACTGAAGCCCTCACTTCCCACTGACCATCAGCTGTAGAGAGGTGCCCCAGTGCCCTCTGCTTTGGAAAAGCCACCTCAAAATGGTTACAGCAGAGCAGAAAAGCAAGAAGCAGAAAGGAAACTGGATGATGTGTGCTCTGTGCACATGGCCCACTCTTCCCAAGAACTCTTGTCATCTGCTTTCTCATGGACTCCATGGATTGGGCAAGAGAGCTGGAAGCTGCTCAGAGCAGGGAGGAAAGGTCTGGCACCAGCACAGCTGTACAGACACAGCTCTGCAGGCCCAGCCCTGCTAGGAGCATGTGAAACCCATCATTTCCATGCCAGGCCCACCCAGCCAAGATGCACTGCTCCCTGCAAAGGCTGAAAGCAGAATTTCATTGTGGAGTTAGAGAAAGCTGTCCTGGAAAAACCCCTCACTTGAAGGTGGCATTTATCCCCCAAAGAGCTGGAAAAGCAGCAAGTTCAACTTCACAGCCCTCCTCCTTGGCCCAGGAGGCTGTGGCTGGACTCTCCCACATGGCCTGATGCTTTAGCCACAAACACAAACAAGGCCATAGGATCAGGTTTGAAGCAGCTCCACAAGTTCAGCACATCCAGCATGAAGAAAAACAAACCTCAAGCCCCTCCCAGATCTCCCCCTCCAGCAGACAACCCAGCCAGCCCCAGCCCCAGCCTACAAGCCCTTCCTGGCTGTGCCAGCCCTGCTCTCCCTGCCAGGGGAGCAGCCCCAGCTCCTTCTGCCCTGTGCAACCTCCACATATGAAAACAGCCTTTCTCTGCAGCTGCTCCCCAAAGATGCTCTTCAACAGCACAAAGATCACAGGCTGGGGGGGTGCACAACCCCCACACATCTTCGTGTGCACAGCCCAACTGGCTTGAGCCACAGGAGCTGTGACAATTGCAGTCTGAGGACAGAGCTCACACCCTGCTCTCCACTACAAACAGCACTTGGGCACAAAGCAAATGCAGCTGGGACAGGGAAACCATAGGGAAATCCAGGCTCTCTGGGGAGCAAAGGAACACAGGTTTCTCTGATCTCAGAGCTCCAAAAATGTCACACGCACATCTGAAGACCTTCCAGAAAGTGAAGGGAGGACCTGTCACCACAATCCAGACTTGTTTCTGCTCCAACATCTCTGCACCTGATTTCACCGAGGGCCCCAGCTAAAACCACTCCAGAGCCAGGATCCTCTTGCCTCGCTCCGATGGAATATTGGAGTATCCTGCCACCTCTCACACCAGATGGGCCAGATGGAAATCTTGCATATCAAAACCAGTCATAAAAAGTCCTGGCTGCTACTGACCAGTCAATTCCCTGGAAAACAGCCCCACAGGTACTTACAATCTTGATCCTGAAGTCTACAGGGACGAGACCTGTGTTGAAGAGGGTAAGAGTTTGCTCTGTTCCAGGAAGAAGCAGGAAAGAAAGATTTTTATAAAAGCCAAAACAAACCACAACAGGGAAACCTAAAAAAGCTTAAACAGCTCAACTCTACTCAAGTTATTTATTATTTATTATTTATTATTTATTATTTATTATTTAACCACTCTCCAGCTGAAATGCTGGGCTTTTGGGAAAAAAAAAATAAAGTTACATATTCACCTCCAAATTCAAAAGGATCAAGGTAAGAGAAACTTTCAAAATACAAATGATTGGCCCAAGGTAAAAGCTTTGCAAGAAATGTCTAGTTAAGACCAGGCTGACAGGTAAACAATTGGTTATTCTGGTGGGGAGAAACCCTCCTGCTTAAGGTAAGCAGCCTGATAGTTGAAAGCAACTGTTGTGTCAAACTTCAGGCTCCCTGGCACAGCCTGCACTGCCTGTCCTTCCTGCTGACTGATTTACATGCAGTGTCACAATGGCCCAGGGTCAGATACTTGGTGCCATCCAGGGAATTTGCCATCATCACTTCCATGTGTTTTAATGTAAGTTTAAATCCTTGCAACTACTCTTCAAATGCCAGCTTTCCTTTCTTTTCCACAAAGCTCAACCTTCCCAGAAGTCTTCTGACATCCTCTTTTGTGCTTAAAGAGATGACATTTGAAAACAGGTATTTCCAAAGTTACTAGCATTTTAAAGATTAATTTAACTAAAATTATCCTCAATTCCAGCTTAGGAACTACATTCAGAGTCAGACACTGAGATTACCACCTATAAGGCATAAGCTCTTTATGGCACCAGTCCCTTCTGTCCTTCTCCACAGCAGCCTGTGCCTGTTTTTCCCAGAAGAATCCCTGCACACTCTGCACCCTGCCAGGAGGAGCTGCACAAAGGCACACATCTCCCCTTGCACTCACCAGTGGGTTTCTTTCATCCCCAAACACGCCGATCAGAACATTGGTGCGATGATCGCCCAATGTTTGCACTTGGATTGTAACCGGAATCTCTGCAGTGCTGCGAGGCTGGACAATGCCACAGGGTTTGGGGCTGGAGTACAACACAGGAGAGTCCTCCTTGCGTTTCTAGAAGGGACACAATCAAATGCAGCTTCAGAGGGACCTCCAAATTCAGCTTGAAACTCCTTAACATCCACCGCCACAGCAACTCACACACGTTTTTCAAAATCCCCAGGACAAAGGTAAAAGGCCCAAAGAAGATGCAAGAATTGCAGGCTTAGCATTCTCAGGGGGTCCTGCAAGGAGGCTGCCAGCACAGCTGTTGGTGTCTGTGGCTGCAGCAGCTTTTCACAACCCTCTAAGATCTCCCACCAGAGAACACCCTGAAGACTAGAACATAAACTGTTTCCTCAGGAGGTTAAACTGCCTCCTAAAGTTTACATTCAGGTAGGATCCTGCTCTCAGCAGATTTTTAAGGCTGAACAGAAAACAGCAAGGTCTTATCCAAACCCTTTTTTCCCCTAATAATCTCCTCAGCAATATTTGAGAGGAGGAGGTGGATGCAATGGCAAACCTGGGGAATGAGCCCGTAGCAGCCAGGAAGGTGAGTTTTATTGGTGATGATGAACTTCTTCTCGTATGGCTCCTTCAGGTGGCACTTATTGCAGTGCATGATTTGGGGGTACACTTGCAGCTCAGGAACCAGACATCTGGGCAAAGAGATGACCCCAAGGGAATCAGAGATACTGAGAGAACAGAGAACATTTACCCCCAAAGATAACCCATTTGTCACTGTCAAACAGACATTTAACAGCCCTGCAGTGAGAAATTGCCTTCAAAGCCTTCCCACTCCAACACGGCTTGTCAAGGAGGGGCAAACCCTGAGAGGCAGCAGCCAGAGGCTGCCAAGTGCCCCAGGCAGAGCACTTACTTTGTCCCACAGCTGCCTCAGCCTCTCCTTTAGCCCAGAAGGCTTGCAAGGACTCCTGTAACAGTCCCGGTGATCCATGAGCTCTGGGGGAGCATTCCCAACACGGATCAGTGCTCACTAAGGCTCAAGGAACACACGACTCCGGTGTCTCAGTAAAAATGACTCCCTTCTCTCCCACGGGGCTGTTGCCCTGCCTGAAAACTCAGCTGTTTGCCCCAGCTTTGGAGGGCATGGGACACCACCTGCCCTACAGAGTGGGTGATCACCCCCTCCCAGTTCCTACAGCTCCCTCGGTCCTTCACTCCACAGCTCCATGCACTGACTGTCCCCATTTGCACTTGCTTGACAAAACTGCAGCCCAGGCACTGACTGCATGGCTCTGCCTGCGAGAGGGAGCAGCACCAGGGAACTGCATCCCTCTCGACATTAAACTGGCAGGATGGAATTCTGCTGCAGCAAGAGCAACTTTTGGTTTAAGTCTGAAAACATTCAAGCTCAAAATGGGAAGCAGAGGAAAGGAGAAAAACTAGAGCTGACTTGCCACATCAAGGGCTCTTTTCC